CAAATGCTAATTCGATGATGCCGGCTGGCACACTGATTCACTATGAATGTAGGCCGCACCCCCTAAAGTCAGAAGCTCGTACTACATCCGGTTCGCCCGCTATTGACACAGTCTTGAAACTTTCCGATCGCACCTCTTATTGACGTAAATTCACTGGACACTGCGTATATCGCCCGCTTTTGAAACAGCGTTAATAAATAACCGAACAATCAACAGAATGGACCTTTTTCAAATAGAAAGCTACGGATAAGAACTTCAAAAGCTATGATCATAAATCCATGCCGCGTGTGGTATAAAATATCACATTCTCGACGAGCGTGGTATGACTGGAGTTTGCTTTTGTATACCTATTCCCTATAGTATCCCTGGGGAACTTATCGTGACTCTTTTGTCTACAGAGAAGTGTACTTTCGCGTTATTACAGCTTGTCACTCACTGCGTCAATCATCGAGCCTGCCTGTTTACAGATCGACAGTACTTTATTCTCTAAAAATGAAGTGATATGTGTTAAGTAAGAAACAAACAATCTTAACAGATCTAAAACTTCTTGACGATGGTGAAGAGTCATTTCCGGAACCTGAAGACGGAGATAGAGCCCCATCTCCGAAACGTCGTTTTACGTTTTATATTTTACTAGACGATGGATAATATCGAAGAAAATTTTTATTCAAAAAACAATCTTAAGTTCCGAAGTTGTCGTCAGTAGGCTATACGGTTCTATAAGTCTCTTCATTTACAGAACAGCTGATTTTCGATGTTTGTACAATGTGGCGTCTCTTCTTAAATCTTTATAGGAATGTATGCAAATTAATTTTTTTCCCCTCCTCCTATTCAGTACTCTTAATTTGCGCTTATTTTCGTATCTACATGAACTGCGATACCTCGGTCGGTAACGTGACTTAGTACGGACAGAGCAAAGGCGAGGCTACGTGCTGGAATATATGGGGTTGGGGTGATGACTCATGGCCGTATTAGTTTTCGGAGTTTGGGGTTCCTGAAGAACACAGATTGAGGGCCTTTGAGAACACTGTGTTACGGAGAAGTGACAGGAGTGTAAGGAAAACCATGTAATGAAGAACTCCATAGCTCCATAATTTATACTGTTCACGAAATCTTATTAGGAAAATAAAGTCAAGAAGGGTGAGATCTTCCCACAGATCGAGAGTATCTCGATCTATCAGATCCAACAGAAAAGTTTCTACGGAAGACGAAGGAAGATCTATCCTTCGAAACCTAGTGATTATGATTTTTTTATACACAGACGGTGTAAAAGAAACAAATGAAAATAATAATACAAAACCATGACATTCAGAAAAAAAAATCCTCCTAGTTCCCCATTACAAAAAAAATGTTTGGCGATCCCTGGTTTAGAAAATCACGGAAGTGATGAATAGGATAATCCGGCTGAGATATGATCTGAGTACCTCGCGATTACACATTTAAAGGCGTCACCACTACGTTTAAAACTGCGTGGAAAAAGTTCGGAATATTTCAAAACCGTGTCACAGGTCAGGGACTTGATTGCCGGCTTGGGTTCAATTCCAGAGCAGTACTTCAATGTTCCCCGTCCCTAAACTCCTATTCTTCACTAGCTACTGGTACAGTAGGGTCATTTCAGACTGCACTGCCAAGGGACTGATCCTCAACCCACTCATATATAAACATATTAACATAAAGAGCCTACAGAGTGTAATTATTTGCGTATTTAAAACTATTCTCTCTGTAAACAGCAATTATTTTCTTAAACAGCGTTAACCAGTTGCTCTTTGTAACGGTGAAGTGTCGTGTTTTCTTTTCGGTACGGCCTGAATCCTTAAAATAATATTTAGCCGAGGCTCGGCTTCAAAGGGTTAAGGAAACTAGTCGGAGACGATGTGAAACGTTTCCCGCGACCTTTACCTGGTGGCGGAAGGGCTGGGAGGGCTAGGAGATGAGCTGGAGGGCTCCATGTCGTCGCTACGCCCTCTTCTGGCATCCTCAGAGTCCACCCATAGCTCACACTGTATCCACAACACACACACGCGACATCGAACGGCGGGCAACAACGTGGCCCCGTCAGGCTTCCGCGCCTTGCGCTCACTACACTGATGTGAGAAGCAACCCCAGGACAGACGCCCGGCGTCGGGACGTCCTCGCTTTATTGCGCATGGCACCAGTGAACAATATTACAGCACTCTCACTTTTTTCTTTCTACCCCAGATGCTTCTCCAGGTTGGTAGCCGTACTCGGCTGTCGTGTGTTCTACCTGGCGCAGACGATCGATTTCTCCATGTGTGTTACTGCTGTCATCGTTGTTCTGCAGGTAAACAAACTCCTGCGGCAGCTTCCTGGATCGCAGCCTTCACTCTTGGTGTCGTCTGTCTCGCAGAAATCCTGCCTGGAAGTTTAAAAAGTTATTGAAATTGAACTCGTTGTTGTAGATAAATAAATTCTGCACAAATAACAAACAAACCTGAGCAGCTTTCCACAGCAGTAACGCCGCAGACTTGCATTCAGGAGGCATTAATTCAAATCTCGGTCATGTTGCATGCTACCCTGACTTGATTTTTTTTCATAGTTTGCCACTGGGCTTTGAAGGGTTAATAAAATAATAACTTTCTGAGAATAATTAAAACAAAGCATTGGTTGGGATTATAAACTGGCGCGTCATGAAAAATGTTCTAATACAAACCTCCTTATCTACAATACTTAACGCAGTTCTGTCTCTTTGCTCTAAAGAACACAGTCTAAATTCAAAACCTTCAAGCCTGCTATTTGTTCACTTAACTTACGTTACATGATAACGTAAGTTCAGAAATCCTTATCGACAATTTTGTTCGAAATTATGTCTATAAGTTGATGCATCTGTAGAGGGCGAATAGACTGGAACAATATCTCCGTTTTATAAAATCAATCCAACACTTCCTAATTATTTTATTAAAAATGTCAAATTCAAAACCAGTAAATAATATTTTCATTAAGTGAATAGGTCATTGTGTATAATCTGAATTGAGTGGACATTTTGAACACGTGTTTATTTGAACGTGTGCACTGGACTCATTTAGGTCAGTACAGCGGCCGGACCAGTGGCCTGGCTTCTGTGAACTTTTCAAGGACAATTATGCACAAGTCATCGGTGTCATAATGTCTTCCAACATTTCCTGAAAACGCGTACATTTAAGAGTTAATGCATGAGTACACAGACTTCTCCAGAGACAACCTTCATTAAGGCCAGTGACCATCAAGGACGATGACGTCATCACGTATGCTCAGGCCATGGGTAATGGCATCCTCATTTGTCAAGTTGGTATTATCAATTGTTAGAACTTGAGAAATATGGATTTGGAGTAATCTCCGTTGGCATGAAGTTCAAACCAAATTTAATGAAAATCCATCAGGCCATTCTCGAATTATTACATACGCACAGATATCATGGGCTATGACGTCAGCAGAGGCGTCATGCGCGTGTGTTTATTTTCATCGTCACCTTTCACGAATCAGTCATGTTTCTTTTACCAACAGTGGAAAATTATTAAGTACGGTTTTTGTATCTTCCTCGAATGACATAACGTCCGTACCAAATTTAATGTCAATCCACCCAGCTATTTTCGAGTTCTCAAATACGTACAGATGGACTTCACTGGAGATTAAATACGCATGCGCAAGTGGGATAAGCGTGCATGAATGTAGTGTGCATATTTCACGGATTTGCATAGATACTAATAAATGTTGGTACTGCCATCTATTTTAGCATTGGCTGCACAATTTATACTGCTGCCATCTATGTGTGCATTAATACCAAACTTAAAATATTGGTATTCTTAAGCAGGCAGCAGGTGAAAAGTGAAATGACGTTCCACCACTTAGAAGGCGGTGGCTTGGGTAGCATTCATTGTGATGTGTTGGCACGTTGCATCAACTTCGAATATAGGTGAAAGATGATTTGAAAGCATCAAGAACTCTGGTGAGTATTGGTATATTAATCAATAATATACCAGCTACTTTTAAATTTGAAAAATTATCAGACCCTATAGCAAATGACTTCCGTTTTGGAACAGGAACAGGAAGTGTGGTTCCAAAATGGCGATAATGAAAACATCCTGTCCACAGGAAATTATGTTTAATAGATATATATTTTCACATGCGAATCAATGCAGTAACATGTGATACAATGTTTATATATGTAGCTCCTTGTTACATGTTTGTAAAATTAATGCTATACTTCCCAATTATATTACGAAATGTGTCGAATCAGAACCCAACAACTACTATATTCAATGAGAGTGTAGGTCACGCAGTATGACCAGAAAATGATAGGTTATGTGATATAAACTGCTGCATTAGAGTAGGGTGCAATTTATTTACTGGTCTTAGTTCCTACATTGCACCCAGCAAAGTATATGGAACACATCATAATGCTAATTCAGTTATTTATACCAACATAAATATAAACATTTGTAAGAGCCACCTGCAGACATTTTATAAGAATATTCACATTAATAATGCCAAGGAAATATTTGCAACAGTTACGAACCCTCAACTGAAGTAAATTGTTCTGCAAACAAAGAATCATAATTATAATTTATTTATTTTCTATACACTTTTTATAGGACTAAGCCAATGATGTAGGACATGTTGCATGCACTCATCGTAAGTTCAAGTTCAAACACGGAGTTTGAAACTATATTATACAGAGCAAAGTAATTATGTCAATATCTACAGAAATTTTAACACATGGATTTTCTGTTGAAGTAAATTCTGCAGGCTACACAGTGTGAGATAAGAGATAATAGTTAGTACCTGCTTAAATATTTTTGATGGAGGAGTATTGAATAATTTGATTTCTGCATAATACATTTCTTATAACTGGCGAGATTAGCATTTGCCATATGGAGGTCATGTTTGTGCCTTGTGTTTATACTGTGTAAGTCAGAATTTATATATATATATTTATGTATTGAAGAAAGCAGTTATACATAATTTTGTTAATGGTACATCTGTCTGCTATTTCTAGGTACTTACTTCCTTCAGATATAATTCGGCTACAGAATGCAAGCAATTATGGCTACTGAAGAAGTTGAATCCTTGGACCCTACTATGCTTATCCCTGTAAGTATTATGTGATGGCAAAACATGCTGTAACTACTCTAATGTTGAGCACTTTCAAGTATGTTCCATTCTGTTCTCATCATAAAATGTTTCTAAATGTAATAGATTTTTAATTTAAAATGCACCACATTTTAGCATTGTAAATTAATAGCTAATGATAAGAAGTGTATGTAGCTCTTAATCAAGAAGTATACATATCAGTTACTGCCATTGGAATGTTGTCATTTAAACTCACTTGAGTGAGAGAAGTTCTTTGAATTGTATTTTAAATATAAATATATGAGTAGGAGTTTGTTTTATGTTGCCTATGCTACCTCTAATGGTGGTGTGTGTTTTTTGTTTTTTAGTTTTTTAAAAAAAGTTGTCCTCCATCTGTTTCATGTATTATCTTCTTTTCAGGCTTTCCAGTCAAAATTGTTTACACATTTTTAAACTTGTCAATGGGCACAAGTCACATTTACTTGAAATTATAGGCTGTTTTATAAACTTTATACTAAATGCCTTGTGTTAAAAGCAGTTGTGACCAGTCATGTTGCTTATGCAGACTTACAGCAGCAAGGGTATGGCAGTTCGCAACATGGATGTCGCTGGCAGTATCACAACAGTGCGCCCATGTGCTCCTGCATTGTCATTGGTTGAACTGGGCAAGAGGCTGCTTCTGAGTGCCAAGGAAGGTGACACAGAGCAAGTACGACTTCTCATGAGCAAAGGAGCACCATTTACTACCGACTGGGTAAGTCCGCAGTTTGTTGTTATTCAAAACAGAATGGCTTGAAGTCAAATTTAGTAGAGAGACATTATTCAAGAGTTCTCCTGATGCATGGCACATTTTAAGTAACGTGTAATGCAGTTGGAACAAATTCTTGAGTGACACAGTCTTTGCTTTTCCTCACAAAGTCTACATCATAACCACATAGTAGACATGTTGTCAGTGTAGATGAAAAAGAAAGTTTGAACTCTCCACTTATGTTAAAAATTTAAGGCCATACTTTTAGAAATTGTAGGTTGAGTTTATATATGTAATACAGTAGAATCCCCAACAGATCTTACTTTGTGTTACATGATAAGGTTCAGTTACAAAGTATCATATATTTTCCATTTTTATTGGTTGGATCTTGTGAGCATGGTATTGATCATAGAGTCTCCATAATAGGAATGAAATTTTCTTGACCAGCTTAGCAGTTATCTGTTTCTGTGGTTTGTGGAATCAGATTTAGGTGTGAATGATAAAAATATTTCTTTTGAAGGATACCACTTGCATGCAAAAAAAATACTTGATTTGTTTAGAATTTTTGTGTTTATATTCAGCTAGCATCAGTTTTAAATTTGGAAGTATTTGGTGAAATATGTTTTAAAAGTGATGATTTTTCTATAGAAGATATCTGAGTCTTACTGTTCTAAGTCTGCCTTCATTGAATATTTAATTTCCCTGTCTATCTAAATGTTAAATTTATTCTGTCGATTTAAATTTCCAATATGACAGCAACAAAGACAAACGAGGACCATTTTGAGAGCGGAATAAATTCAGGATTAAGTAACGTAGATTAAAACCTTCTGAGGTAGTAAGTAGCGGTTTTTGCTGACAGCTGGGAACGAGTCCACTTCATCTGGCAGCTCAGTATGGTCATGCCACTACAGCTGAAGTACTCCTACGAGCTGGGATATCACGTGATGCTAGAACAAAAGTTGAACGCACGCCACTCCACGTTGCAGCTCAGGAAGGCAACACTGCCATTGTACAGTTGCTGCTAGCCCATGGAGCAGAAGTTGATTCCAAGGACATGGTGAAGCATTGTTGATATGAAATAAGCTATATATTAAACCTTATTATGCCCTGTGCTTCAGGGCTGCTGGCTGGACTTTAAGTTCAGGGTTAACTATTTAATAGTATGCTACTAGGATCAACTGCTACCTTGTTCATATGTAGGTTATTTTTTATGCCTAATAAAGATTAAGTGGGTCCTTTGTCACTATGGCATGACACATCCTCAGCTTGCATGCATTGGATATGAAAGAGATAATACAAAGGACATCTTTTATTAGGAAGTAGGTAGATAAAGGATGGCATTCAATAATACATCCAGTCTTTTAAAGTCGCTCACTGTGATACTAATGACGACTATCTGGTGATTACAAGAGTTAGGGAGAGGCTGTCAGTAAGTAAATGAATAATGCATAAACTCGGATGTTGAAAGACATAATCTAAAGAAAATAAACTGTGTGGAATTTAAAGAATAGTATCAGGTTAAGGTCTTAAATAGTTTTGCATCCTTGGAATATTTGAATGATGTGGGCATTGTTTAGAAAAGTATTAGATAGAATTCAATATTTCTGCCAAACAGAATTTAGGTTATGAATTAAACCAGCAGCCTAATGCCTGGATTCATGAAACATGTTTAACTTTGGGTGAATACTTTTCATACAACATTTCGTCTGATCTGGGAGATAAACAGATAGCGCTATGTGTAAAGAACATGTTATTGGTTTATTTTAATTTTGTAAGTTCATGAATGTTATGTTACAGCTGCGCATGACCCCGCTGCATTGGGCAGTGGAACGTGAGCATGTGGGCACTGTGGAGGTACTGCTGCAGAACGGGGCTAACCCCCATGAGGTTAGCAAGTTTGACAAAACCGCATTCCACATTGCACTCGACAACAATCGCCACGACATTGTGCAGCTGCTCCAGTCAGCTGCAGAACGATTGTCACCTCTCCAGTCACTGTCAGCTTCAGCCACTCAGCAGGCTATGGAAGAGGCAACACTAGCTGCCACTCAGAGCCTTGCAGTTGAATTGGCACAGGTGCCGACTCCTTCCCACCAGGAAGAGGTCCAAACTTCTACCACTTCTTCCTTCACTGTAGGTCAGTGTCATGTCACAGGTTGCCTGACTTCAGTTCAGTTATTTGTACATTTGCGTTAGTAGCAGGGTGTACATGATAATGAATATAATTAGCATTCATCTATGATTTCATTAAGATATAGAAAATTGAAGACTTCTTTGAAACAAATATTCGTGTATAAGGCACTATCTCTGTGATTTGTTAATTCTCCCACTTCTCTTACATTTATATTCTGAAGAGATTATAGGACTTAGAATGCTCAAACTTATTTTCGTTAACAGTAGAAGTTACAGTCGTATCAGTCCAAGCATGCATTTTTTGTGAATTTAAAAGTTTTTTCATTGGTCTCAGATAATTTAGATGCTTGAATGCTGAGGGAATGTCAAGAATACTTTCTCGGTTCTTTGTCATTGTGTTGTCTTTCTATTGTCACATGTCGTAAAACAAAAGAATCGAATCTAACTCTAAATAAGTTAGATGCACATTTCTGTTACAGAAACTGCATCATCACAGTCGTCTCCACTCGAGAGGCGGCAGGAATTCTCGGCACAGCCTCCGAAGAAAGATAAGATGTCATTTAACACAGGTATGTTTCTGAATTTTGAATTAAACCAGGAGGTCTATCCCCCATGACAGTCCACAGGAAGGTTTATGTGTTGTTTCACATGCTAAGATATAATTTTTACACAACACATTTTTGTAAAGGATTTTGAAATTGATGGTTTGTTGTAAAGATGGTACTGGGGGAAATTGGATAATACTTTTCAGTTGAGTTTTGTGCTGTAAGGTTACGCCTACTTTTTTATTCCAGATAGTAACTGTTTAATAATATAGTGCTGATGGTAATCGGTTAACATTGGGGTTACATTCCTTTAAATATTCTGAATTTGTAACTAGTAATAATGAATACACAATAGGTTAATTATATTGCATATGCAAAATGGCAGCCACATGAAGAAATATCAACAAGCAACACGCAGTGGCATTTCACTGCATAATACTGAGCGCAGTGTCTGTTGCAGGCTCTTCATACCAAAAGAAACTTCAAGGTAGTGCTACTTTGCAACTGCTGCAAGCACACGGTATTACAATGTTACCCGCAGATGACACCACACTTGTAGCATCGGCTGTGGAGAGTGGACAGACTGTGGTGCTGACAGGTGACGTAACAGACTGGACAGTCAACACATCTGTTAGAGTGAGGATAAAATGGAAGGATAATATTAAAACAAATTTTGGTTGTAACTGATTCAAGATTGGTTAAAATGAATGTTAATTTGTTTTAACAGTTACAAGCTTTCAGGTTCTATAAGAGTGACATTTTTGTTTGGGCAGTGATAACCTGCTTAAGGAAAACGCTACCATTGAGTTGGTTAAGTAGGTTGTTCAAGAAATGTAGGAAGCCTCTGAGTAGCATTGCATGCATTTTAGCTATTGATGACCATTTGATCAAAACTGTTCATTGAAACAAAGAAACTTAACAATGTTAAAAATTTACCTGCTGATTTGTACAGAGTTTGAAATGGTTTTTAAGCTGGTGGACATTAGATGAGGTATTCTATAGCATAATGTTTGACTCTTAGTTAAAGAGGTGATTGTTGACCTTACCTCATGAACAGAAGAAGGTTGTGTTCTGCTGGTATGATATGTATCACTCCTGCGCTTTGTTCTACACAATGTTAACTGATATTGTGGCCTGTTTATTCTGCTCCACAGAAGCAGGGAAGCTGGCCTTGAATCTTACGGAGGGGAACACAAGTAATACAGGCCACTGTAAGACTGTAAGTGGCAACACAGCAGCTGTAGTCCAACACAAAGCCATGCCCATAACATTACCTGCTACAGCAAAGAAGAAAGTGATTACCATTCGTACAGGGCAGCTCATTGGCAAGAGTGGGCCCAATATTCTGAAACGGGTCGATCCTGATGGGCTTGGTGGCCCTCCCACCAAAATACTGGTGGCTAGAGCAGGCGTACCTGTCTCCACTTCTTCCAGAAGTACAGTGCGTATTGACATTAATTTGTATAGTTTCATCTATGCATTTTCTGAAATTCAGTCTGCATTTATGGCAGTAGAGAGGATCACATTTTAGACGCTAATGAAATAGTTAATCGTGTAATAAAAGTCCATGACATTACAAGCAGTTTGGAAATCCAAACATGGGCTGAGGACTTACCCTTACTGTGCCATAACCATCTGGTTTTCAGAAAAACAGTGGATCTATATGTTGTTTGTAGTGTCAAGAATTGTTATTAGAATTGTAATGGTAGCTGCAGGGTTTAAGCCTTTTGACCTGCTTCATTCTCAAGGTTACTCAAATTGATCCTTCCATCTCTTTGGCTCTCAAGCCGTCTTTTTTCTTCCTGTAGGGTGGTAGTCAATCAGCTTTCCAACGAATTCCATAAGTTGTCATTCTTAAAATCTGTTGTAAATAGTTGTGTTGATATTCTTTTACTTTCTGTCATAGGTTAAATATCATTATTAAGAATGTGGGGGTCCACAGTGGCCGCGCGGTCTGAGGTGTGGGCCTTGTGCCGCTTGGTCACTGGGACTGTGGGTTCGAATCTCACTCAAACCATGGATGTTTGTCGGCGTTTTTCTGTGTTGTGTTGTCATGTGTACAGGTAGATGCCTTGCGACGGGCTGATCCCTTGTCCAAGGAGTTCTACCGAATGTCCATAGAACAAACGAGCGGGGAAAAAAAAAGTTGGGACCCGCAGTGCTCAGGCACTTGAAGAACGGGTCGTTCCCAGTATCCAGTATTAAGAATGTGTGCATATTGAATCAAAGAAAAGTTAAATTATCTGTGTAATCTTTTTCGCAGGTGAACAATATGACAGTGTCAGTGCCTCCTGTAAATATCTTGGCAACTATCAAACGACAGCTGCAGGAAGCACGGAGGGAGGCGGAAGAGTACAAAAAGCTATATAGTCGTAAGGAGCGCGAAGCTGAGGAGTATAAGCAGCAGTTGCAGAGCATAACACAAGCAAAATAGCAACAGGTGTAGGGCTAGAGGAGAACTGTGAAACTACAAGCTGCTGTACTGCCACATCAAGTTCTTACAACACTGCGGAACATGTTTGTCATAGAAATAAAATTACGGTTCTGCTCTAGCTCTGTATTACAGACTGTGTAGTTGTTCGTTAAATGATTGCTGTGCGGTTGACAGCAATTGAACAGTTTAACAGCTGAAGTGATATGAACTGTGAATCATCATTCCGTAAGATATGGATGACTCCTTGTTGACATATGTTCTTGTTATAACTTGTATAGCAGCAACCTTTTTTGCATGCCCATTTATCAATAACAATAATTTATGAAGACACCTTGTCACCTACTCACCGTCAATTTTTGTAAAGTGACATGAAATCTGAAAGAACTTCACTCTTCAATGAGTTTCTTAAATAAAGAGAATTAAATTGGTGAAGCCTGTAGCATTTTTTTCCCTTTCTGTAATATTCAGCATCTGAATCTTTTTCCTGCATGTTATTTTTTAATGATATGCAGTCATTCAAATAATTGCTGATTGATAACATTTGAGTTTCATAAGGAACAGCACAGTAATATAATATTAAGTGAGTCTTAATATTCATTGTAATTGTTATATCAACATAAACTCACATAAAAATCATAATGAGAAATTTCTGTGGTGTAACTTTAGTTCTACATGTGCACGATGCTGGTTCATTCTGCTTTATAAGTTTACTTTTGTTATTGACTTGTGTGAGTTGTGCTAGAATGCAAATTGCCTTCCGGCCACCACATTTAATTAAACTACATTAGGTATTTATGTAATATCAAAATAAGACATATGTATATGAGAATTTAGATTATTAAGTATTTTATAATAATTCTGGGGAAAAAATTAGTCTTTTGTATCTCTGCAACTTATTTGGATGTTATGTCAACATAAAAACTGCATGTAATATTTGTTTAGTGTGACATTTTGAAAATTATATGGATAAAACTTTAATGAGCATGTGCAGATTTTTTTAAACTGTGAAGATTGATATGTTAGGGATCTTTGAATTTTCAGGTTGGCATTTAGTACTTGTATTCACAACTGAAGTTTGCTTTTGTACTTGACTTTGGATTACATTATATTAGATTTGCCATTGTCACAGGTAAGATGTCTTACTTTAACATTTGCTTCTTTGATTTGAAAATTATTGGTATTTTATGCAGCTAATGAAGTATTGATATGTTGTTCCCAAGTGTGTTATGACTAACATATCACTTGACTGTTGGACAGATACAGAGGGAAAGGTATTTCTAAATTCAATGACCAGCAAATGATTATGTGAATTGGCAATTTTTGTATCAAATATGACCACCTGAATGAAGTCTCTTCAGTAGAATGATAAGTCAGTCATATAAACAATTTCTTATAGGTAGGTTGAAGGAACAGTGCTTAGATTTGCCAATTAACTGCAGGTTGCTCCATTTCCAAGTTTCTACGTTTTGAATTAATATGCCTGGTGAAACATTGTTTTATACATTGTCTAACATGGCCTAACTGCACAGCAGGCAATGTTCAGTGCTTTTATCAAGTTTGCCTAGCTCAGGGGAACCACAGAGAGGCCTTTCCATTTATTCTTTGTTTTTCAACATGAATTTATAATTTCTTTCATCTGTTAATTTGTGATTTTGCAATTTAGTCCCCCTTTAGACAAAAAAATATTTGGCCCTGGCAATGAATATTAATTTAATGATTTCTTGCTTGTTGTGATGAGTGGGGCAGGCAGTGTATAGACAGCCAAACAATCTCGGTTAAATTTTTAATACAAAATTATTTTAAAAATTCAGTTTTAACAACAAAATAACACCTGTCCATTACCAACATCAATTGGTTAATATTACTTTGGATTTAAGGTTTAATCTGTGGATGTTCGTATATTCTGTGATGATTTGCACAGTTGGTTTGTTATCTGTGTGCGTTAGTTTGCACGTGTTGTAATTCCGTGACCCATTGTTATTCTATAGCAGGATTTTAGGGTTATTCTGTGGATGTTCGTAAATTCTGTGATTGATTTGCACAGTTGTGTTGTCGTCTGTGTAGGTTAGTTTGCACGTGTTTTAATTCTGTGACCCATTGTTTTTCTAAAGCAGGTTGTTTCCGTTTCCATAATTTTTCCTAGGTGTCTGAAGATTGTGCAACCAAGGAACGAGTGTGATGACATTGAACCGTGCAAAGGAGAAGAGTAGGCGTATTTCATTATGGAGGATGTAGAAGAAGGCCAGTTCGACGAAGCAGATGATCTTACGTATGTAGCTCTGCTAAGATATGATTCACTTAGCATGAAAGCAAACTTGAATGGGTATCACTTTAAATCATTCTTGTACTGGATCTTTTCCATTGCCCTTGTTGAAAAGATGGAACCACAGCACTTCGGAAACTTGCTCTGTTTCCGTCTTCAGGCGAAAGGCACCTACTAACTTGGGTCCGTCAGTTATAGCTAGTCTCCGTTTTCGAAGCGTCGTGATTTCTTATTTTAAACAAGAACGATGGAAAAGGTCCAGACAAAGAATAATTTTAAGTGTAATCCACCATCGTTAGAACCCTTTAGAATTGAATTGAATGGGTATGGTTACATTGTCACTTTCTTTGGCGTAGCCAGTGTTTGAAGCGTTTGTACGAAGTTGTGTTTTGGATTAATAAGACGTTACACACTGTCTCAGCTAAAGGTCTAGTTGTAAACTCCTGTGAACATGGTATTTATCCTCCAGGTTCCACAAAGGAATTGAAATTTCTTCACCTACTGACTATTGCAATTTTTATGATATTGTAATTTACCAAATGAAACTGATCAGCATGTTGTGAAGGTATACCAAATGAATGGCCTGTTTGTGTTTCAATACTGTCAACCTAACAGCCATACTGGACATGTAATTGATATATTGAATAATTTATTTATTTTGGTAGTGTAATGCCTACCACTAGAGGAAAGCCTGTGCTGAGGGCAAACTTGCTGAATGATATTGCAGATCTCTCTATAGAGCAGGAAGATGATGAATTCTCAAGTGACTGTGGTGATGATTTTGAAGATAACTTCAGTGCATGGGCTATGAAGTCAGGTTTGTACGTTTTGAAAATGATAACAGATTAGGGGGCAGATGTGGGCTTGTTGTTTACTTGGAAACTCCTGTAGTGTTTCTTGTAGCATTACTCATCATAGGCATTGAAATTGTAAAGCTTCCAGTCCTCCCACCATAACCCTATCATAACCTATCATTCATTGTACCTAAGCACCTCTTTACCCATATATGAACTTTCACATTGGTACCTAACATTCAAAAAGCAAAAAGAACGAAGTTGAATGTCATAGCGAAAGGAGACAATTATTTGTTGATGTGCACTGAAATGTAATTTAACAATATACATTAATGCAGGGATTTTGCTGCATCACACTAGACAAAATATTTACCTCCTTGAAATCAAGATGATAATTTGATTAATGTAGGAAAGTGTCACTGCATGCATAGTTGTGGTGATAGAATTGAATTTTTACATTAATGTTATGTGATTACATAGGAGGTGCCAAGGAGTATGGTGTTTCTGTGAACAACAGCTACCAGCCCCAAGAGAAACAGTTGAAACGCTTCATTAACAAGATAAATGTAGAAAAATATGAGGGTCCAACATTGCCAAACCATGCAGCGAACATGCTGATAGAAAGCAGTCGAAAGTTTGAGGCTAAAAGGTACACCTGTAACCAGTATATGACTAGTTTAATCTTGTGGAATAATTTTTACAGTGGTCAGTTCATGTATCTTTGAATTCTGTTCCATTTAAAATTGCTGAAAATGGTAATGAAATTTTGGGTTCCAGAGTAGGTGGGAAATTTCTTGACCAGCTGAGCGACTGTCAGATTTTCAAGGAGGACTCTGCTCCTTGGAGTTGCACATAACATTGACAATTCCAACATACATAACCTGCCTTGACTTAGAATGTTATTGACTTTTATCATAAGTAGTTATAATTTCTTGAACTTAATCCATAGTTTTCCTTTTTTAAAACCCAAATTGTGGTTGATGCTTATGTTGTTTTCTCTGTTTTACCCAATAAATGCTGAGATTCTGCTTGGAATAGGTAGTAACCATTTCCTCAAACATACCTCCTAATTCAGTTTCTTTATTCATATCTGCAGTTAATGTAGCTTCAAAAAATATTTGAATACATTAAATAAATAATTTTTTAATGTGCTGTTGTAGTCATTCTGGCTTACTATTTGCAGATTTGTAATGGTTTATTCATTGAAGATTTTAATGGATGTAGGTTTTTCTTCTGTTTACAGGATTCAAACCAAAGACAAACATGACAGGGCAACAGCTGAACAGGTGATGGACCCAAGAACTCGCATGATCTTGTTCAAGCTGCTTAACCGAGGGACTATCACTGCAATAAACGGATGTATCTCCACAGGCAAGGAGGCAAATGTTTACCATGCAACTGGCAAGGCAGATGAGGATGTGGCCATCAAAATTTACAAGACTTCGATCCTCGTGTTCAAAGACAGGGACAAATATGTGTCTGGGGAGTTCAGGTTGGTTACTCAGTCAAAAGGAACCTTGTTGATGGTGGTCTATTGTGTTGTCATGTACTTTTGAATGCCATGCATTGTCACAACCCAGACCACAGTCTGTATCTTCATTATGAGAATTTCAAATCTCTAACGGAAGCTGCTTTTCTTGCTATTACATGTTATCTAAGTAGAAAAGCTTTAGATGAGTTTATGTTGCAAACTGAGAAGCAGAAATCTATAACAATAATTTGTAGTAACAGAATTACTTCTAAGTTTTTTTGACGTAAATACGTCTATACGTTAGGGTCATTCGGCAAAAACAGCGTAACGAAGATGTGTAAAATCCAGCGACGAGTCACTTTTAAACGTTCATTCCTCAGGAATGGTAAGAGTAAGGGTAGTGTAACTTATATGTAAAATGATCAGTAAATAAGGACCTTTAAGAATCTGTAATGTATTTTATTGTAATTATAATTGTTTATACGTTTATTGTAATTTTAATGAACCATTGTGTACAATTTTAAATGGATCTGGACATATTGCGTACGAAATACGTATTACCTCGTGAGCTTTCCATTTCTGTTCTCAGATTTTACATATCACAAATGGTTTAGGTTCTACAAACATTTATTTATAAAAATAAAGGCGCATCACACTTCACGCTACTGCTGCATTTGCGTATTTACGTCAGATTCTCCGGAACCGAGGATCCACTGTCAATTTTTTCTTCTAATATTTAAAGATGACGTTAATATTTTGTCTGATGGTAGGCAAGATTTTATTTTATGTTAAGTTTCAGGAGATGGGTGAACTGGATGATGATAGCTTTACAAGCCTGGCAAGTTTTATGGTTTTGCTTGTCATTAACATGTTTTCTTAGGTTTCGGCATGGTTACTGTCGCCACAACCCTCGCAAGATGGTGCGTACGTGGGCGGAAAAGGAGATGCGAAATCTCGTGCGAATGCACTCTGAAGGTCTGCCTGTACCAACACCTATCCTGTTACGTGGACATGTGCTGCTCATGGGATTTATTGGAAAGGATGGCTGGCCTGCTCCAAAACTTAAGGTAATGGCAAGTGTTTTTTTTTCCCCTCAGATTGCACAACATGAACACACAGTGGGGAGGCACATTTCTTTGGTTACAAATGTAAGATAAATTTGTGGGTTTTTTTTTTTCTTTCCGTTTCCACATCTGGCCGCATATAAACTGACATTATTTTACGAGAGATAAAGTTACTGGAGTTTGAAACTGATATTTCACTTCTGACTGCTACATGAAGCTTTATCTTCAGTCCTGTATACATGTTCATGGCATGGTACATAGTGCACAGTTTACCCAATCTTTAAACAAAAATAGAAGTTGACAAATAAATTTTATAGTGGGATAAATATGGTATTAATATTCACTACATAGAAGTGGTGGCATATTACCTTGTTCGTATGCTAGACCAGTTATGTCATATGGGAGCGTGGCGTAGGCGGTAAATACAGAACAGACCTCTGATATAAGCTGAAGTACTTTTCACCTTTTTGACCGTGAAAGAACAAGATATTTTGAAATAATGACAGAATTACAAATCTTATTAAAAATACAATAGATCACTTGCCCAAGGAGTCCTACCAAATGTCTATAGATCAAGCCAATGAAAAAAGTTGGGTCCCGCAGTGCTCAGGCACTTGAAAAACAGGTCATTCCCAGTATTACTGCAATTGCATATTACACTGTCAGTTTTTTTTTAATTCAGGATGTGGATCTGTCGGAGTCAAGGGCACGCCTGCTGTATCGGGACTGTGTCACCATTATGTGGCGCCTCTACAATTCTTGTAGATTAGTGCATGCTGACCTCAGTGAGTTCAACATGTTGTAAGTGGATCTTGTGCTGATATTTTGATTCCTTGCTTTGTAAAAATTATTTGTGGTTGTCAACCAGATTGAATGTGGAAATAGAGAAGCGTGCTGAAGCACTCGGCTGTTTTAGTTTCTAAATTTACCTATTACTTAATTTTTGTAGTACGTTTCAGTTGATACATAATTAAATTATAAACAATTTATGGCTGCTCTCCTGCCACCAAGTTACTAATTACTACTATTTTGTTGGCTTAGCTGCTAATCCTTTGAATTTTGCGGTGTTGCAGGTACCACAGCGGGCAGCTGTTTGCGATAGATTTTGCACAAGCTGTGGAGCATGATCATCCTCATGCACTTGAATTTCTCAGGAAAGACTGCACCAACATCTCAGGTATGTAAGAGTCAGAGAAGGGGCAGAGCATTCATGTTTCATTCTAAGAAACTGTTGTCTTTATTTACAAGGAAGGTAAGTTTATGTATCGTTACTTTTCAGAGTTCTTCAGGAAGAAAGACGTAGCCACAATGACAGTGAAAGAACTGTTTGACTTCATTACCGACCCTACAATCACAGACAGCAATAGGGATGCCTACTTGGACAAGATGTCCGAAAGGGCAGCTGCTCGAATGCTAGAAGAAGTGACAGCACAGGAACAGATTGATGAGGAAGTCTTCAAGAAATCTTTCATTCCCAGGAGACTGACGGAAGTAAATAAGATATTTTATGAATATAAATATCAGGATATGAGGTTCTTGCAGTGGTGAGGAAGAAAATGTCAGAATTGTCATTTGACACACTTGTTAGATATTGTAAATTTTCTTGCTGTTAACAAAAATTTATGGCCGATTAGAATGCGCTTTTAATGTAGTTACCATCAAAACATTTCAGTTCCTTAAAGGGACAAGTGTAGGAAAAAGTATTGTGACGTGTCGCCATGAGTGCGGTGGACTCGCGCTGCAGGGGAGGGGCCGCCTGACTTCCAGTCTGCCTGGTCTGGATCTTTCAACATCTTGGGAGGGGGATTATAAACAAAGTCGCATTCCTGGACGCGGCCGAATGCGAACTACAGAGTTGTGTGTGAGCCGGAGGGCACAGCGGCAGCAAGACAGCGAAGTGTTGGGCGTGTGAAAAGTTTTTGTAGGATAATATTCAAGTTAGCAGACTCCAAACAGCAAGGGTTGGCAATAAAGGGGGTAAGAACCAACCTACGTCACAGTATTTATTAATGACGGAAACTGTGTTTTATATGGACTTGGCGTTTTTACTTGTAAAATGTGAGCACTTTGTGGGGTAATCAAAATCTTCTTGTGTAGCAATGTCCAGCCTTGTCTTCTGTGTTGCGGCTTAATCTGTGCTCTACCATGACAGAACTCTCTGGTTTCAGGTGGTGGACGCTGAACGAGACATTGAGAGAGCTCAGTCGGGAGGTGACCTTGTGTATCAGACAGTAACTGGGCTGCAGCCACAAGACACTGTGCAGGATGACGGTGAAAGTAGTAGCAGCAGTAGCGACAACTCTGAATCATGTAGCAATTTTGTTAACAGTTCCCGACCAAGAGATGAATCTCTAGAGAGTAAAAAGGTTGGTTTGTGGATCATAAGGTTCTTGTATTAGAGATATGAATCTCATCCTTCCGGAAAGCATATGTGAACAGCTGAAAAACTGAAACCAAGGTTAAGATACGTGCTGGTTACAGTATTTCTCGTGATTTGTGTTCAGTTCATTGCGGTGCTTTCATAACATCATCTCTCTGTAGTTGTAGATTCCAACTATTTTCTCCTGAAATTTATTTTATTTTACAAAGTTTAAATGTACTGATTTTTGTAGATGTATGACATGTGCCAACATAACGGATGTTATTTTACAGTTGCGGAAGAAAACTGTGAAAGAACAGAAAGCAGAGAAGAGGAAGACTAAAATTAAAAAGCATGTCAAGAAAAGGAAAGAGAAGTTACAGCAGAAAAAGAAATGAATGAAATGTAAATGGTTAAATAAAGCATCCACTTGTATAAAACGTGCACATCCAACATATTTAAATTGCTTCTGGTCCGTTCTAATACTTGTTTTCTCGTGATGTGAGTTATTCCCGTTCTTATGTATGCTTTTGTGTAGTTACATGAACCTCTGCAGGTAGCCACTTTGGTGTACAGTCTGTTCTGCATTAAAATGTTCATAAAGGACTAAAATTTGCAGACAGGATGAAAGGAAGTAAGTGAATGTCATGTAATGCATTTTTGAATTTTATACATACTAATTTTGTCATAGTGAGTTGAATGATACTATGACCACTAAACAAAACAAAACAATACTTATTATTCTATTTCAGTTACAGATTTCATTTATGAATATATTTATGACTTGTACATGTTTTGTTCTGAGGAATTGCAATTATTGGGCATTGTCATTTATCCAGTCAATATAAGCAGACACACGAGTGTAGACAGAAGGTGCATTGCTTTGGCCACAAGGGATTACACCCCACGATACAATACCAATCAATTCTCGGCTTCCGTCAGGTTGTTCTTTGACCAGTGGGCCACCGGAATCGCCCTGAAAGACACATTGGAAGAATACGTGGGATAAGCGATGTAATATTCTTAAGAATGAACAAAGTGAGAATCCCAAAGAAAGTTCTAAAAATGGAAGTAAAAGAAAAACATCCAAGAGGGAAATGGATCAAAGTGGAAACAACTCACGAAAGATGTCACACAGAGAGGAGGAGTAGCTGTGGGAGTACAGAGGCTTGGTTGTCGGACAACTCCACATAAACTGGAAGTGGCTTAGGAAGCAAAATGGGATAAATGAAAGATGATGGTAAACAAAACCTAATTCTGTATGCCAAAGAGCGTGGTGTTATAGTGGTTAGGTTATAGACTTGTACTTGGGTGGTATCCTATTTGAATTTTGCCCCACTTAACCTGCTCTCATGACAAGTTCTTGTGGCTTTGTCGGTCTGTTCTTGAAAGATGCCATGACTTGTCACCTCCAAATACCTTTTCACAATTCATTATCATGTGTTGCTCATATGTGATATAATGTTGACAGTTGAAGTAATATTAAATAACGTAAGAATCGGTCGAGAACACGTCTTGTAAGAAGGTAAGAAAATAAGAATTGAACTGCAAATTGAAATAATGAGTTATCAGTTTGTGAAGTCTGACACAACGAATGGCTCTTGTACTTACAGAGCAAGCTGAAAAGCCTCCACTAAGAGGCCCAGTGCAGACATTGCTGGGATCCAAGGGGGAGTCACTTCCGTAAGTCTCCAAACAAGTGTCGTAATCAATAATAGGCAGATCTGCCGTCTGCAGATTGGCTGGCATACTTGGGTTATTGGTAGTACTGATGCTACCCCATCCAGAGAGTATGGAATTACCTGCAACAAATCAGAAGCATTGACAGTGGCAGAATTTGGGACTGTAGGGGTGTCCCTGTCCTAGGTGCCTTGCAACACATACAGGTGAGTGGTCTGTTCACAAAGAGTGTCATAATAATATTTTTATTAATAAGGCAACAAATTCGCATCTTTAAAGGGAAGAGACATAATCACAGTGAAGCAAATGGGCACTTTCTATTTAAATATTCAGTCTTATAACAAACTTTAAGTATTTTTTGGGAGGCCGGAGTGATCACAGCTAGGCTATTGTCAAACACTGCTGTGGTCAGATTCTTACCCGATGGAATTGAATCAGGAACAGGGAGTGAAATTGGTTGAACATGTTCATCAAATACCAGTGGAGATTGCAGCTTCACCAAAGCTATGTCATAAGGAGCCACATCTCTGAAACAAAATCATTTATCTTATTGTAACATTAACAAGACTGTCGTTATTCTCATAAATTATCCCCATTTTTTTATTTTTCTCCAGTAAGTATTTCTAACCACTGGTATTAATCATGATGGATTTGTCTAGAACAAAGTCTTTGTTCTCGGAAGAACTATATACACCATCCATTTTGAATTCTATACACTAATATTTAGGAGCTGATTTGATTGACTGAAAGAATTGTGAGCCATATTCTGACTAGTTATTGAATACTCACCCTTCAAATCTTGGGTGAACAATTGCCTGAGAAACACGCACTGTCTGTTCAGTGCCTTCGTTGGAGTTCAGATTGTGTTCACCAGCAACCACCTGCAGAAGAGGGATCTCTAAATGATCTGTCACACGTCAAAACATGTCAGATTTTCTGTCTCATACAGCACCAAAAATATGTAACTTTGAACATCCCTTATAATTTTGAGTAAGAAAATTCAATGTAATGATCATGTAATGAATTCATACATTTAAATCTTTCATGTTTCATACCCTAACCCACAAAATATGTTTCATGGCATTTGATATTTGAGAAAAACTGTCGGGCAAATATATAGTTTTAATTCTAATTTGCAAGAAGATTAAGTCAGATTATATAATTCTTTCTAAGATGGTTTGTTATAAAAATACTTTTATGAAAGATAATATAGATCTCATTATGATTAGAAGAATTGTCCAGTATTGCCAATGTACAATTAAGAACAGTTTTTGACTCTGCATAGCAATTGGGTTTGTCAGTACAGATTTGTATCTGCGATAAGTGAATGTCAGATGAATAATATTGAAGTGAATTTTAAGGAAGTAGGGTGTGATATTACGCTGCACAAAGTTTACGTTTCCTTGTATTTCATTAAATATTCACTGTATGGAAAATTATTTGAAATGAAGTTGTAGATCTGTCTTTTATGTCAGGTACCACAATGAACCAGGATTATATCTGTACGATTTGTTGTTCTCATAATAGAGAAGATGTCAGTGTTGGTCTTGTGGGTTGTAAGATGGAGATGATATGTTTCTCTGAAATGTTGGTATCTACTTATATGTCCACACAGTGACTCAAGTTAAAGTAAGGTAGCATACAAGTAAAGTTTTGAATATTAATGTTGACACCACTGCTCTGAACACCAGGATGCCACTGATCCTTGTGTTTGGATACATACCTCAAGTGTTCCATATTCAGGAATACAGTGACCAGCTGTTACCACCCAGGACGGACTGATAATGGAACCACCACAGATGTGCTGCCGGAGGATGATCAGTACGACTTGCTGCAGAGAGATCTGGTATGGGAACTCACCTGCAGGACCCACAAGGTACTTTTTTTTTAAACAACTGTCTCCATGGAGCAGAGTAATTCATGATAAGGTAATAGTTGCTCAGCTAGTAAACAAACACACCACTTTTTCTGGAACCCAAACATTCATTACCATTAAGAGCCTCCCACTGGTCCATATCCTAAGTCCATGTGGTCTCTTCCCTTTGGGGTGTCTGACTAAAACCCTTGCACTTCTCTCATACATGTCATATGCCCCATCAATCTCATCCTTGTCGATTTGATATTCCTAATAACATCTGGTGAAGAGTACAAATTATGAAGCACTTCATTATGCAGTTACCTCCTTCCCTTTAAATGTAAATATTTTTCTCAGCAGCCTTCCTTTGAACATCAAAAGACTCTTTTGTATGAAAGTTAAGTATGGATCGTGTATTAGTCAAAATACAATAGTATTATAAAAAAAATTTCTCCGAAACGTCGTTTTACGTTTTATATTTACTAGACGATGGATAATATCCAAGTAAATTTTTATTCAATTGACTCTTCACCATCGTCAAGAAGTTTTAGATTTGATAAACTGGAATTTTCCTGAAGAGACACAAATACCATGGAATACCCAGTAAACAGGCTGAGATTTGAACCCAGAACTTCTTGAATACAAAGCAGAAGTGCTAACCACTCAACTACAACTTTGGTTTGAGTTGTGAAGGTTTGTGTTTCTTTCAATTTGTGCTATTTTAAGTTGATCTGATTAATTAACATCATTATTTTTAATACTTGCTTTTATTACACTAAAATTTCCCACTGAGCTCGCATTTTACATACTTACATTACCTCTCGCAGTGTATTTATACTACAGGAGCTAAACTAAATTCTTGAATGATTGAATGTAATGAAACAGTTATAAAATTGTTTTGAACTTTCCCTGTTTCAAGCAAAGCATTTGCAAATATTCTTCTTCTCGGTGGCATATTTTAGTTCCTCTGAATGTCTTGTCATGAACCACTCCACTGTCTTATTGGATTATCGTTTTCATTATTAGGGAGTTCCAACACTTTTCTGATTTTTGAGAGGTTAGACATACCTTAAAAAATTTTAGGGAATGTTTTGCCACTACATTTCCCTTACATATTAATTTGCATCTTCCATTAATATTGGCTGATGTTACAGCCATGCTTATAGTAGTATCTGAAGTTAATACAATTATTTTATTACACATTTAACTTTAACATACCTTTTCTGGCATCATGGCCTCCTACAATTCGACCTACTGGTCTCCCTAGTCTGAGGGTGGGCTGCACTCCTGTAATTAAAATGTGGTCTTAGTTTAAGTAATTTAGTTGAGGTCAGCTTCAACCCATATTTAACTTTTCCTCTCACTTTCTACTGTTTGTAAGTAGTAATGTTTGGCTCAGTTCTGTTCCTGCATCAAGGTTATCTTTTGAATGGTCTTCCTCGATCTCTTGCATTTTACAGAAAGTTTTTAGGGCCATTCCTTCAAGATAGGTTAACCACTTTTCTCTGTATTCTATTTTACATTTACAGAGTAAACTCTGTTCATTTTTAATTTTATCTGATGTATTCATCGCTTGACACTTACAGTTAATTTTGCAAAATAGGGTCATATAAAAGCTTTTTACAATAAACTGTCAGCCCAAATATGTACTAAAATTATCAGAGATGTTCAGTTTATCTTCATTGGTCTGAAAATTATGTTGTCCTTTTTGACTTCTTCCTGCCTGGCAAGGATCAAGAAATACATTGCTGAGGGAGAAACATCAGGATAGGTTTCCATTTACCTCCAAAACTATTTAGGTTAGGACACCTGAAGCTTAATGTGGAATCCATACCCAAATGATATCCTAATATTCCCTGCATTTACAAAGCTTCATGTGGTCTTGTGGGTCTGTTGTGATCAGCCCACATCTATGATTACAAATTAAGAAAAATACTTACCCACACTACAGGAAATTATTGCAAGCAGCAATGTGATGTTCTTCAGCATTCTGAGATCTTCTACTTGACATCATGGCACATTTCTTTATATACCTTATAAATATCATGTGATATGGAATGATAACTTGTAGGTAAGCAGCATATAAATTGAAGGTGCATTATGCATAACTTTTATGTCTTATTTTATCTCAGAACAAAAAATGTCCTAGACTGTATTTCAAAAAGTATTTATGCAGATAAGTTTGAAGATTGATAAGATTTTTACATTTGCTTCATAATTTAAACTGAAATCATGTAAGTAACTAAGAATTATCACATAAAGTGATTTTTCAAGGTTATGCCAACATAATCAGCTTTTGCACAAGATAGACATCTGAGATGATCAGAGCTGGATAATTTAAGTACTTTAAAATTAATCTTAACAATGATTGTCTGAGAAAAGATTTGATATTGCAGATATTAATAACAAATGTCAGATAAATATAATTTTATTTGCTGACGACAACTTTGCTTTCAGCTGAGTCTGTTTATTTATTTAATCTTCAATGCATTCTTCTGTTGCATGATTAACAGAAAAGTAATTTGGGTGGTTGTAGATATGAATTTGTCACTGTGGCAGGGGTGACTCATTGACTTTGTAGCAAGAGTATGTGGTTCAAAAATATGCAAATTAATTGTGTTCATTTTTGTAGTGACTAATTTAACCACCTCAGTTGATCAGAGTCATTCTAGAGAAGCTGATAGCCATTTAGGCAGTGAAGACTTTCACACAATTTATGGGATCCAAATGTTCATTGCAGCATACCAAAGAGCCTGCCTGGCATCTATCCGAAACCAGATGAATCTACTTGTCCCCCCCCCCTCCGGCGACGTAATTCTTTGAGATACGTTTTAATATTATGCCCTTTTCAACACCTCGGTCTTTGAAGTTCTCTCTTCCCATCAGGCTCTTAAACCAAAATTTGTATTTCTCATCTCCCCATGCCTGTAGCAAGCCCTGTCCACTTCATCTTTCCTGATAGTATATTGGGAATATTACTGGTTAATTTATTATCTTTGTAAATCCCCGTTTTGAATGCTTGTGTGTGTGTGTGATTTGTACGGAAGAATGAACAAAACTTAATTTCACGACAAAGTCGATCCACAAGTGTGGGGAGCTATTTAAGGAAGAAAACTTTTGCGTGTTACACGGGCGACCTAATGGCCTGTTATACTTTTAGTGAACTTCTTCCACAGAAAAATAGTTCTGTAGTGTTATGCTATTACGCCTGCAGGCTTGTGCTGGGAATTACTTTGCCGTACGCGTCCTTGAGAGTTTCCGCTAGATCAGCAGGATTTTATTGAACACAGCAGTTACACTGGTTGCAGTGAAAGGACTAGCGAAGGAAACGCACAATGTAAGTTTCCCTAATTGAATCATGTGTGCGAAATAATTTCAGTAGAATTGAATTTTGTATTATGATATGATCTTTGTAATTCAGTGAACTTCTAAATTAATTAACCAGTCAATCGTTGCACCGAACTGATCTTTTGTCAAACTTCTTTGTTATCTTTCGAGTATCAGTTTTAAGTGCTGTAATTGTTGATCACCAAGTTGAGCATAGCATTGTGTCTTAATCACTTCTTTCCCAGACCTAATCTGTTTATCATGTTAGTGATGCCGTGTTTACATTATTTACAAGCTCCGTAAAATTTAATGACCGATTCTGAACATTATGATAGATTGCATTGTATGTAAACACGTCCGCTACGTTTTGTATTCGTAGTGTGAGATCGAGAATATGGCAGTGTTAGTCACTGATGTCCAAATAACGCGTATAAAATTATATCTGACTTCCTGAAGAAAAAGTAATGGCGTATCTACCAGCCTTGAGGTCAATATCATGTGTTTCTCAGTCCACACGCCACGACACATTAAAGGAAATCTTGTGTTGTTGTAGTGAGATCTTGATCAACTGTGTTAGTGCACCACCACGGTTTAAAAGACCAAAGACAATGGATTTAATGACTTATCAACTGCAGAGGTTATTTTGAGCCAAATGTACAGCGGACGGCAAAATCTCTGAGCTACGCTGACGGTTACAAAAAATTGACAGTGGAACCACGGTTCCCTTGTTAACGTTGAATAACGTTTAACTGTAGTGTATTTCTACTGCAATAAAATTTTATTTACACATTAATGTATAACTTTACATCTTATCTATACGTGACGTCATCCACCGACAGCTTATCTGTGTGTTGCGTCCTGTACTCAACACATATTCCAGAACTCCTAAACCGTAAGTGTTAGCTGAAATCTGTTTGCAAATTTGAAAAGCTCGTGTTTATTTACGTATTTCACTCGCAATATGTCCAGATCTAACTCTTATGCTTTAGACGTGACAAGCGGTTGAAATTAAGGAACGAGGGTATAGTTATTACATGTTTTGGGTAATTATTTCAACAGTGTGTGAAATATGCTTTATAGAATAAAGTAAACATCATGTAGAAAAAGCCCTTTATTTGCTCTTTAATTTACATATAGGTTTATATGCTCTATATTACATAGGTTTCGAGTTATTGGCGTTTGAAGAACTTACACACCAGCGTTACCTTACATTATACAGTTTCCGTCGAGTGTACCGTGATTTTATAAACGTTATTCAACGTTAAAAGAAAAAAAAACCTCATTAAAACGCGTCTTTGCCGTCTTGGTCTTTCCATCTTCCACACCACTCTTATTTTGTCATTTCTCAAGCTCGGAGTTATTTTACGTTAATTGTACTGTGTACTTGGGGCTGACGTGGCCTTTGCGGCCCAGTAATGACATTTGGATTGTGGCCATGTGGGTTATGACGCCATTTAGCGACCTTCAAAAGACGGAAGAGGAAATTCCCCGTGAAATGTTGGTAACTGCCTACAAGATTACACAGCGTCATGTGCTTAACGTATGAGACATACCACCACCTCTGCCCTTGTCTTTTTTCTTATCATCCGTCACTGCCCCGTCCTTGCATTATGTGTTTGCTCTCTTCCAATGTCCCCTTCCCTTCCTATACTCATTTTATGTTTTGCAGTTCTTTTGCCTAGAGACAGGCTTTTTGATGCTATCAGAATCAGTCATACCAGCAGCTAAGAGGGAAGAATTGTTAGGTGATCAGATGTTATGTTCCTACTAAGAGGTTATTGGTGTGATGCTGTTCTGAATGTGGATGTCCCAGGTGAGGTTAAAATTAAGCATTAAAAGGATTTTCACAGTGAAGTTACCTTATCTCTTTTTTAACAGAATTCCAGATTACACTGAAGCCTTCATCTAGAACGCATTATAGCCCGAACAGCAAAGACATTTACAATGAAATCTGCCAAGTCAACGACAGCTACAGTTATGGTAAAAACTACGACCATAACAAAGACCGTTGCTACAGTAAATACTCCAGTGACTACAAAGCCTGCAGTAAAAGCCAATCGAAAGCCTCCAAATACAGCAAAAGTTAATCCAACCCCAAAGCCTCCATCTTTTATTAAAAATGCAAATTTTCAAAAACCTCCACCTGCAATAAAAGCTGCAAGGCCTTCAAAACCAAGAACTGCAACCGCACCAAAACCTGGAATGACAGTGGAATCTACAACCATGTCAAAGAAGATTGTAGTTAAAGCTACTACCACAAAAACAAAGGTATGTGATCTTATTCTTATTTGTAAGATGTTTCCACTTCATGTTGGTTGTGTAAAAGTGCTTATACGTAAATGATTCGTCTTTGCTTTAGTGCTCAAAATACTTTGTTTCATTCTTGTTTCTTTATCGTGTGTTAGGTAGTTAAGTAATAACTTAATGCTATGATAGATTGTACAACTTTTGGGGGCAGTTTTCTTCTGTAACATGTTGACTTCAGTTTCTCAGTTATTTGTCTTGACATAAAATAATGTATTTTTTGTGAAACAGGGTAAAATCTGGGTTTATAGTGTGTCTGAATAGGGTTGTGAGAGAGTTTTCCAGCTCTTAATATCATCCTGGGAACGACCCGTTTTTCAAGTGCCTGAGCACTGCGGGTCCCAACCTTTCATTGGCTTGACCTATAGACATTCGATAGAACTCCTTGGGCAAGGGATCGGCCCGTCGCAAGGCCTCTACCTGTACACAGGACAGCACAACACAGAACGCGGACAAACATCCATGGCTTGAGTGGGATTCGAACCCACGGTCCCAGTGACCAAGCGGCACAAGGCCAACGCCTCAGACCGCGCAGCCACTGGTGATTTTGTATATCATCCACCTCTGTGTTATGTGAGGATATTGTGACATCATCATTCCCAGAAGAAGCCTAATTGGTCAGTTATGGAAATTAAAAAGCAAAAATTTTCCATCTTTTTAAAGGTCTTCCTATGCATCTTCATAAAATTATCCACTTATGTACACATTAAAAATAGAAACTTGTCTACATTTAGGCAACTTTTTTAAAGGTATTTCTTCTGTAGAAGGTATAAGTACAATACATTTCCTTTGGCTTTCAGTTTGAGTATAATAACCTTTGGAAATAGGCATGTGAAGTTTTGTATGAAGACAGATCAAAAACGTACACTTAAATTGCACATAAAATAATATTTGCAAGTTAACAATTACAAACATGGTGATGATGTGAAACTTTGAGAATATATCTGACAAATTTAGCTTTTCCAGAATATGTTTTTAATTAGTTCTGCCAAAAAAATAACAGCAGCATATTCTGAAAATATAAGTAACACTTGGTGACATATTTCCAATTGCAGGCAGTAATAAAAATATTTGACTAGTAGAGCTACATTCTGTTATGGGATAATACACATGGTAATGAATGCTGTCTCAACAAATATTGTGCACGTGCATTTAGGGTGCGAAGGTGCAAGAATGTGCGCATAAACTATGTGTTCTCCAGTATGGGTTATACTTTTCAGATCTTGATCTATCCCTAATATAATCAGTGTTATTATTTTCTTTTGTTTCAGAGCCAGTTTTGATACATAAGCAGTGACAAATATGTTGGTTACTCGTTGCAAAAGTGATGATGTTTCAAGATGGTGATATTATATCAGGATAGCAACACACCAGCATGATATTTGATGCTGTATTACTTTCATAATATTTTCAGTTCAGTCGCTTCACAAAACAGGTCTACATCCAGAGTGGAACTTCTATTTTGTTTAGAATATGTAACTGAATCAATAAGTATGTGAATATGCAAATTCCCGTGTAAGGTACACACTTTGCTAAAATGACTACTGAATACAGTCTGAAAAGTTGCATATTAGATTATGGTGTTTTCATTTAAGCTATATACAAGTATCTAGCAGACAAAATTTTTCTTGCATTCCTCCTCTTCCCCTAATGTTTTTCTGTGGTTTGTAGCGTCTTCTTTGAGGTGACCCATTTGTATCATGTAGTTGCATATGTTGTCAATGACATTTTGTGGGAACATTTCAGGATTAGTTTCCATGTAGTGGTATACAAACAGGTCAGCCCCGGTTATAATGAAACGTTGTGTGAACACAACAACCAACGCTCCTGCAAAAATCATGGAATGACAGTAAATTGTCAGTGCGAGTTTCTGTGGTGCTTGATGAATAATGTAAGCACTTTTCTTTGCTGTGCTCTGCTGCATGCATGTTTAAATTCCATAAAACCACCACCAATTTGTGTTCTGCTATAAAGTTTACATGTCAGTCAATCTTGTTATAGTTCCATAGTCTTTTCTTTTGTAATATGTAATAATTTTGTATAATAGTTTGGAAAATATAGAAATTCACATAGTGTGTTTGTGTTACCCTTAATGAAATCAGCATTATTCACAAAATATTTGGATTTTGTCACCAAAATGCCAGCTTTCTGAGCAATGGGTAGCGGGATCCTTTCCCCGGAGTAAAGCACCGACACTGACCACTCACCATCGAGTGACGAGACTGTGAATAAGTGGGAGCTATACTTCCTCTTACTGCCACGGTGGTCTAGTGGTTAGAACGCTGGCCTTGTAATCCTGGGGTTCCGGGTTCGATTCCCGGCGGTGCCCGAAATTTATAATTTGTGTTGGGCAAGGCTGTGGTCTAGGCAACACAGAGTTTTCCTCCGGGACTTCCCCAGTTTCTCCATGGCATCCTAACAATGACTCCATACACACAGAAGAAGGCAATGGCAAACCACTTCTGTATCACCTGCATAAAAAACATATGAACAGGTCCCAGTCCGAGAAATGGATGGAAGGATCCTGTTCATAATATGTTGACAACCTCTGTAAAGGAGATGGTGTAATAAAGAAGAATAATTCCTCTACCCCTGAGTGCCTACATGAAGCATACCCTGATGGAACCTGAGAGGTCTTGATATAGAGACTGTAATGTCCGCTGGTGCTTTGTGTGTTTGAGGTCTTAATCAGTCAGTAAGTCTTTTTTATCCAGATAATCATCCACCCTCTAAATCAGTGTAGTGAGCTTACCAATATAAAGATCAGCCGGGGTATAATATTCTGGATCATCCATGTTTGTGCCTGGTTTTGGTATACGGGTCGACCTTAGGTATGTCCCTTCCATAAAACCAGAGTTCTTTTGTGGAATCTCGCTGATGGTGATGGAACAGTCTGACAGTGAGTAGCTGAATACAAATTTGCGATCCTTGTCTTCGGGATGGACCCAGTCCATGACGGCCTCATAGCGAAGGTACTGAGGATGAGAAAGTTTAAAATTTTGTATGTTATACTTCAACAGATACTAAGGCTAGAAGTTAAACAATCTCCTACTAGGGTATTTTAATTTGTATTTCTTGTACACAGTTTTTATATTTTTATCATACAGGGTTAATAATCTGTTTGTAATAATCACCAAAGTACATATAGAATTATGATGGGGAAGTCTTTTGAAGTTTAGTTCACTCAAATAACTGTTGTAATTAGTATTTGTCCTTTTGAATAAAGATGTTGCTGCTATGCATTTTAAGGTCCATCTTCAGCTCTGAATTGTGTTAGCATTTCTCTGTTCTACTGTCATGTCTGCTGGCAGTGGAATAGAGAAACTATTTGGAGCTCTCAGTAAGGTAAAACTGTTCTCATTCCTTTTGAAGTTTAGCTCACTCAGATAACTGTTGTAATTAGTATTTGCCCTTTTGAATAAAGATGTTGCTGCTATGCATTTTAAGGTCTATCTTCAGCTCTGAATTGTGTTTGCATTTCTCTGTTCTACTGTCATGTCTGCTGGCAGTGGAATAGAGAAACTATTTGGAGCTCTCAGTAAGGTAAAACTGTTCTCATTCCTTGGAAAAGGAAACTTTTCAGCAGACTGTGACAAGCATAAATGAGGAAATACTTGCAGGAGTAGAAGGCAAAAAGAAGTAACTAGCCATGCCATGGGATGTGTGTGCTTCAGATAGAGGAAATACCAAAAGGGTTTGTGTTACGAGAAGATATTCTGCAACACATGCCGGTGTAAGTAAAAATAGGAAAGAATGAGTCAGTAGAGAATTTTTAGAACAAACAGTGACATTAAGTGGCCAGGAACTGGGGCGTTAAATTTACATAAAAAGCTGCAAGTACTCGATGTATTATCATAAAGAAACTCAGGTTCTTGGAAATTGTGTGAGGGACTTCTGCCTCACATATGAAGGGCAGAATTTTGTTTCTTAAACTTTTGTTTGTTATGGGTCAATATGAAGACTTCACCAGTAATTTCTGGCCTCTTCTGTGTTACATTTTTACCGCATTGTTTGCCCATGTTACTCACTTTGCTGACATTGGCCACATATCGTACAGTGTCCTTCTTTGGAGGCTGTGGAATAGTAACAGTAAGACAGGACTGCATTGAATCCTCTGGACTTCCAAATCCAAGATAAGGTGGTACGGGCTGAAAGAACACAATTTATTTCCATACCATTATTCCTAATTTACTTAAATGCATAATTGATCCAAAATTTTTAACCATCTATTCCTATGTGCAACTTTGAATTCTTTTGATGAGGAATTACCTTAAAAAACAGAAACCTGATTTTGGGTATTTGCTTGGTATGTGGAAAACAACATCTGGTCACAAGGTTGAAATAAAGGTCTTTTTTACTCACATGATCCAAACATTGCAGCAGAAGTCTTTCTGCTCATTCAGTGAAATTCACATCAGAATGGACACATTTTATTCAGAACATGAATTTAGAAAACTGTATCTGTTACATTAAATTATGTTAACAATTTAGACTTATATGGGAAGGTAATATGAAATTAGATCTTGGTGAAATAGGGTAGGAGGCTTGGAACTGGATTCATCTGGCTCAGGACTAGTGGGCTCTTTTGAATATGGTAACAAGCCTTAGAGTTTCATAAAAAACAGGTTATTTCTTGACTTACTGAATACTATTAGCTTCTCCAGAAGGGTACTGCTCCATGGAGTTGGTTAGTAAGTTAATTTTATTGCCCTTTAACATGTTATGACCTAAGTGGGATGCTTTAGTTGCCTTGACTTGCTTTCGGCTTTGATGAAAGTACATTTCTTACAATTCTGTAGCCAGTTTACATAGATTTACTCACAGCCGCTGGAGGAGGTGGTATCTTCTCAGACACATCTATGGCATATCTCTGGGTTATGTTGAAGACCTCCTTGAAGTACTTCCTTGTGAATGAGTCTGTGTCACAGATGAGGAACCTACAATAAGTGGCAAGATTGTACTCGTGTTTGCATTATGCTTGATTATTTGAAAATTAAAAATACATGTTCTTTTATTCTTAATCTGAGAAACAAGGGCAACTAAATATAACCTTTAATGCATTTGAAACATATTACATTACCTCCTTCCTAAAATATAGATAGTTTCTCCAACTAAGAAATCTTTTGGTGTGTAATAAACTATGGCCTCCTCAGCTGATGGAAGGTCAACTGAAAATTAAGGCATTAAATATGATCATTACCAGATTCACCAATGGGAACTGTTTTTGTCTTCATGTTTAGAACTCCAATGAATATGTTTCAATATTAGTAACTAATGCAGAACCTGGTATGTCCTTCCACTCTCTGGGCAGTTTCATTTTACGTAGAAGTAGAGGAAATGGATCACGCCCCTCATTCTTCTTGTAAACCTCTTGTATTTCAACAGTGTCATCTGCCAAGTAGTAGTGTATGATGTATGGCCTCAGCTCTCCATACTCTGAGTCACGATCATCCCACACAGCAAAGAACCTGTAGAACATTTTATGGTGAAGGATTGTTAACCCTACATCCTTCCACCATTGCCCATGAATACTTATTCAGTATAATCACACATATGATACATAAGTGATATGTTTTGTGTGCTCGAACATACCTTAATACCTTCCCATCATATTCTAAGAATTGCCTCATTCTGTCATTAGCCAGTTTGGTCTTATGGCCGTGTGGCTTGATCTTCAGCTGCCTGTCCAAAATGTGTGGATCTGATGGCATTTCTTCAGGGTCATTCAGTTCAATGCCTTGGCTCTGCAAGTATTCCTGTTAAATAAAATGTCACAACATAATGTATTTGGGATGTTATTGGTTCAAATTTAGGTTAGAACATAAGTTTTGTGAATAAAAGGCAGTAGACTTACTTTTGTGAAAATGTCACAGTCAGCTATGTGATACACAATCCCATACATGGCTACATCAATCCCAATGTTGAAATCTTTCCAGTGCCAGAAGTCTCCAAGTGCTGTCTTTGGAATTCTGTTTCGCCTCACAAGTCTTCCTTGTTTTATGCCAGAGTTCTGAGCAAATAATACTGAATTATCAGTTTTCATTGATTTGCATCGCCTTCATGGGAGTTAGAGTTAATGTGTTTCTACATATCACTTGAGTGCATTCACAGAAGTAATGACTGCCATGACTATGATTTTCATGGGTTTTTTCAGTTCCTCATGATAAATCCTTCAAATGGACCACAACTATTTCCTTCTAGGGCCCTCACTGTTCATGATCATCATTACATCTTATGGGAAGCTACATAACCTATGAATCAGGTAACATCAGAGGTTGGCAACCTTTACATTGCTGCACATCAGATTGGTTATTCATATCTTTATCAAGGGCCACAGAAAAAATTATTAATGCTGACAGTAAGTAAAATCGTATTTCTTTAATGCAGGTTATAGTTGGTATTCACTTGAAAACAATATCAGTATTTCTCCATACAATTGAGTTAATGATCTCGCAGTAAGCTTCTAATATACTTATTTTTAGAAACGAAAATAACAAATTTTACTTTATGAAAGAAAATTGTTGCATTGGCTTTTCCCAAATTGTGATGGGTCACTTATAAATTTGTGAGGGTCATCTGTGGCCTATGGGCTGCAGGTTGCCTACCCCTCAATTATATCATGGATAGTTGCACTAAGTCTCACCTTAACTTCTGGTTCCATGACAGTAATCGTGTCATCCTCCAGGAAGTAAATGATGTTCACATGGCGAACACGTTCATGTTCAAGTGGAGACTCAAACACTGACTGTTTGAAGAATGCTCTGAATGCAAGGCATTTCTTGTCATATAATGCAAAGTGAGGGATAAACCGCGAAACTGGATATTCTTTCACACGACCATATGTAAGGGATGGATTGAACCTGCAAGAAGAGTTCCAACCTTCTTGCTTAGAAACTGTTATGTCATGCAGTTAATGTGTTCTTATGCAGTTTTATAGTCAAGAAACAACATTTCATACATGTTCAACATGTATACAAACACAGAGATTGCTGATATTGTTATGGATTCTGATGCCATGTAGATTTGCAGGTAGATACCAGCATTTCAGAGAAATGTAAGTCTCCATCTTCAGCCGTGATGAGCACAATATCATCACATGAATGTCAGCACTTACCTTATTGGGTCTGCACTACTGAAATGAGCTATGCCTTCAGTGTCCAGTGGTCTGTTCCCAATGCCAATATTTACCGGGCATGGATAATGATATCCATTCCTGAGGTCAAATTGGTGAGGTAGATGAAATTTTGTGATCTGTGAGACAAACAGTATATAGATATTTCAAAGTAGCTATGTTAGAAAATTGCTCAGACTAGTTTCCAGGAGCACAGAAACTTCCCCCCCCCTCCATTTAAATGGAAATTAACTCAGACCCACCCTGAAGCAGTTTACCTCAGAGTAGAAATTCCAGTCACCACACCTTAAAGCTTATAATACATAGAATTAAACATAAACATTCAACTAGTATGTGGGGTAACACTTCCCATAATGTAGATTTAAATGCTGTAACTAACTAGATGGCTTACGGAACCTAAAGGTTCATCCCCAAATTAAACAAAGCAAGGCATAGAAGTGCACACAACAGAGATATTTAAATGTCTGAGATTAAAGAACAGGAAATTGGGTGAATGCATGTATTAAGAAACGAAAGTTCCAATATAATTAACTCTGGAAACCTTAGGAGACCACGATGGAGAAACACTGCAGTACTGTATAATTACTGTCGGAAAATTATAGTAGGTACATTGAAGATTGTTGTGTGAGTATATATAAAGCGTATGAACTAACCGTCGGGTCCCTAAATGAGTAACCGGGCAACAGAGGTAGTCCTGCCATTTCGAATGTATTTTGTTCTTTAAAATATATTTTTTCAGTTCTCCGAAAGTATAAAAGTACAATGTGTATCAGTAGAATACGAAAGTAGTTGTCTAAATAATTTTTGGTTGCCTAGCAACATTTACTACGTTCCGTACTAGCAAACAAGAAGCAGGGAGTTCCAAAATATTTTATGTTTAATGAAAGGAAATTATTTTCTTGATATATGGGCTATTTCATTAAATATACTGGGATAATAACCATCAAAGTCATAATTCACGTATGAAATTTTCCTGGCGTATTTATGGTATGGTACTTTCACTATTTTATGTGTAAGTGATTACAAAATTAATAGGAATTACTAGGAGTAACAACTTGTAGCGGAGCAACATGTGCGGGTGAGAATGAATCACAGAACACGCTGTTTTTTTATTCAGTCGTAGTATATTCTCTTGTTCGAGTAATATATTTGTTGTAACTTTCTGTGAAACATATGCTTTTCACTGTTAATTTTCGGGAGTTGTGTTTGTCCTCATCACCAACCATTACAAGTGTGTATAGTATTATATTGGCAAAGACACGTGGTTTGAATCTAGGGTGTAACGCTATCGGCAATTGTATACGAGGAATTTGTAAGTGACAATATGCATAATAATATTTTTTTCACTGAATGTACGCAAGTAACAAACGTGTCAAAACCTTTCATTCATAATGTAAGCTTCTGAGAATAACTACTGAACCTAAGGAATTGAGGTTATATTATTTCATTAATTCTATTGCAGATGTGAGCAACTTACAAGTAAAGGAATAAAGGATGCAAATGAAAATAGCACATACTCTTCGAAATCGAGTTTACGTCTATTTTTCAAGATGTAATATGAGCAGTTTTAACTACAAAAGTTGTATTGATGTTTCACCAGAAGTATCAAAGGCTTTAAGAAGTCACACCCCTGTAGTTGCATTGGAGTCCACAATAATCAGTCATGGAATGCCTTATCCTCAGAATCTTCAGACAGCTTTACAAGTTGAAGAAATTGTTCGAAACGAGGTAAAGGGTTATGAGATCACATTTTAGTTTTGAAGACATGTTTTACAGATGACATCACACTCCAGGTCATCATATCTTCATTTGTGGATTGCTTATTTGAGAACTCTGTCAATGTAGAAAGTGTTGAAAAAGCAGACAAGACAGTCTTATATGCATTTATGGAACTGAGACCATCAAACCTAAGTATTAGAGTGTTCAACCTGTGATGTTCCTTACTTCATAGAATCTTGAAATGAAATATTATTGTTATAATTTATTGTAGACATGCACAATTGTCCATTGTATGGTTTTGGGACTGCATTCTTTGACTTTAGATGATTGCTGCAAATGTTAGTTTTTAGTTTTATCAGATGATAATTATGAATGAATTTTACAGATGATTGCTGAAAATATTAGTTTGTTAGGCCACATCAGATGATAATTATGAATGAATTTTATCTGAAACATATGTATTTTTTACTGGACTGAATGTGGCTTGTCATTTAGCATACTGGTTTTGTTGAAACTATTAAACTTTACATAGGGTGCTGTGCCAGCAACAGTAGCAATTGTCAAAGGTCGAATCAAAGTTGGCCTGAATCAGGAAATGCTGGCAGAGTTTGCTAGTTTGAAGACTCCTGTCGTGAAGACATCAAGAAGAGATTTTCCGTATGTACTCAGTAAGGTAGGTGAATAGCCCAATCACTTTATAATTTGCTCTATAATTTTTAAATTAAAGTATTATCAGAAACAGGAGATTGAAACTAATAATCTTTATGAAATATTATTAGGCTCATAATTTAGCCAAGAGAGCAGAGCATGTAGCATGCACAGGAGATGTATAATGAATGAACATTTTAGTATGACAATATGAAGAGAAGGGATTTCTTGAGTGACTTAGGCATTGATGGGAAGATAATATTAACATGGATTTAAAAGAAATGTGATGCAAGGTTGTTGACTGGATTAATCTGACCTATATTCCATAAAACATGGTGAGTTTCTTGAATAGCTAAGCAGCTGTTAGCTTCTCAGGAATTCTGCTTAATGTAGTTTGTTGTTTTCATACAAGGCCACTATTTTAGTAATTAACTTTGAGAGTACAATCTTTGCAGTTTGTATGACATAAATTTTATATTTTACCACTGGTTTGGGGCCACAGTTTACTCATTTAATTATTTTTGTAGAATAATATTTATTTCAGGCCATTTATTCCACTTCTTATATGTTTCTTTTTTCTTTCATTCAGGGTTTGAATGGTGGTACCACTGTTGCTGGTACGGTTATTGTATCAAGTGCAGTTGGAATTAAAGTTTTTGCCACAGGTATTATTTTGGTCAATGGTTCTCCATTAAATTATTGATATAATATTAATATAACTGTAAGAACTTACACTTCTCATATTGAAAGGATAACGACATCCATTGGAGTAGTAGAATGGGAAGCATATTCCTCATTGTAATGAGAGCTGTCCCTGTGAAATATAAATTTGAAAAAAATTATCTGTGGTCATAGTTATTACTCAAATTGAACAGTAAACGGTATGTAGCATTGAATAAACAGATCTCAATAAAAGAAGATCATAAGTTGGAGCTACTACGTTGATAATGGTGAAGTTAACCTGTAGAACTACACGGTTCTGCTTTCAAGGGGATTATCTGTGTTAATTAAAACTACTTGCCACCTGGTATGGAAATTATATCCAGTTTGGAGTTTTCTCTCTAATTTAATACATAAAGGAGTTTAATGTGAAGACGACTGTCATCAGGGATGCTGTTCCCTTATGTTGGTGATAAGCTTCTCTGAAATGTCAGTCAATTTCTACCCTACTACACTGCGCAACATCCCAGAAGGTAGTCATGTTCATACATACCGTTACCTTGGATGAAGGACTTATTGATGTCAGTATTTTGGGTTGTAACAACCGTGTGGAATTGTAGGTAGATGCCAACATTTTGGGAGATATTTTGGTTTTTCTTGTATTGTGTCACAATGCCCAGTAACATTGTGCCCTACGATGTTGGAATAATGTAGAGGATTCCATTACAGGTGGCCTAGGTGGGGTGCACCGAGGTGGTGAGAAGACGATGGATGTAAGTGCGGACCTTATGGAGCTGGGACGCAACCCTGTAGCTGTGGTATCCAGTGGTGTGAAATCTATTCTGGATATTGAAAGAACACTTGAGTACTTAGTAAGTTGTATGTAATTGAAGTTAGAAAAGCACATTATAACTTAGTACGACTTGAGGCCAAGACTGTAACAAGGAGTTTGGGTAGAACTCACAAAGGTCTACTTTCCTGCAGACTTCTGGTGTTAGCTCATTGAGCTAGTGCTGGACTTGTGGGTAGATGGCCATACGATCAAGTCTAAGTTGAGTCAAATTTTTTATTGCTTGAAGTTATATGTATGTTACAGACTATCATCATCATTATCATCTTTGTGTGGAGAAGTTATTACCGAAGTACAGATTTTGTCTGTGTTAAATTTTCTTGTAGAGATGTTTATAAATATGTTGCAGGAGACTCAAGGTGTTTGTGTAGTAACATTTGGTGAGAACAAAAATTTCCCATCTTTCTATACACCTCGGAGTGGTGTCGAGGCTCCGTATAACATTGAATCACCAGTTGAGGCAGCCTTGTTGATTGAAAAGCTGTTTGAACTGCACCTCAATTCTGGCATATTGCTGGCAGTTCCCATCCCAGACGCAGAGGCTATAGAAGGTAAAGGAAAAATTTATTGTCGTTCTACTGAGTAATACTGTAAGACAGGACGTTCATGAATTATAAATTGTGGTATGGTTCCAGATTAAAAACTACAGTTGATAATTAGTGAATTGTGTCACCTGCAAGCAGATAATATAATTAAAGTTTGCTAATATAATAACACAGTGATATAATGAGTTCTCGTATCCATATTGAAATTTTGATGTAAAGGATACTAAAGAGGATGCAATACATTGAGAACTTTTATAGCTCAGTTGCACTCAAATTGGCTGTGAACATAACTTGCTGATTCATTATGTATCGTTCCTATCTGCTGGTACTTGTTTCCTCAGGAGCAGTCTCACAGAGAATGCATATACATTTCGTGTATGTCAAAATAGGCCACAACTATCCCATTTCTCACAGAATATCTCCTTACTCCACTTGCCTCTATAAAATAATGGTATAAGATGATAATATTTTATGTTTAATTTTCACAACATTATTTTAATGTTTAAAAATCAGTTTTAATTCTTATTTCTATACTTCAGGAAATGAAATTGAGAAAGCCATTAGCACAGCAGTGAAGGAAGCGGAAGATCATGGTATCAAAGGAAAGGAAGTGACTCCATTTGTTCTTAACAGAGTGATTAGCCTCACAGGGGGAAGATCTCTTGAATCAAGTATCCTTTCGTATTGTTTATATTGTAGGAAGATGATAGAACAGTTCATTCCCTCTTCTTTCTTTGTCTTTCTACAGTTCTTTCTCCTCAGTTTTTTTCCATGTATTTCCTCTGGTATGTGATGTCTTTCTTAACCTGTTGTTCTGCATTTTCCTTTTCCTTTCATGTTTATAATCTTGTTTGGGATTCTGTCTTCATTTATTCTTAAATGTGGCCACACCATCTGATATTTGATCGTAACCTTGAAGATGTTAATCATGGTTTGCCACTGACAAGATGCCAAGACTAAAAAGACCATGATTACATGTCCATACTTTCTTACCCTGTTATAATCTCTAAATATGTTACATTTTTGTTCTCGAACTTTGAAGATTAATTTGATGTCCAGGATTGTGAATCTGTGGAGGCTGGCATTCAAAAACTTTGTTCCTGTGTAATAAAATTTGTCTGTGGATGAATTGGTAAAGAGGGACCTTCCAAACCTCATATTTTTGGTAGGATTTGAGATTCTCTGAGGCATCATGCTTCGGACCGGTGATACAGAATGTGCCCCGGTTTGAGTCTCGGGGAAAGAAATTTCTCATGAGATTTTCGACCGGTGTATGGGACTGGTGCCAACCCAGCATCATGAGGAAATTGGGGAGCTACAATGGGTAGCGTAATCCGGTCATGAAAACTAGCAATGGCTGGGGGTTTTTCGTGCTGACCACACGTCACCCTATATCTGGTTGGATGATCGTTCACCTCTGCTTAGGCATGTGAATGTGAGGCCAGCAGCCAGCTAGTCGGCTTAGGCTCTCAGAGGGCTGTTACGCCACAGGTTATTTATTTGAGGTTCTTGTAGTGTGTATGAACTTGGCTTTTTCAGGGGTGTGGTGCTATGCAATTGCCATGATGATGGAAGCAGAAATTACCTCTAAAATGTCTCTAAACTTTTGCCAGTCCAGAAGACGGCCATCCTCATGTTCTTGAACGGTTCCAACATTTTGAAACTACTTGCCTTTTCCTGTGTTACAAGTTGGACTGAAACTTAAAACAATTTAAGGAGTTAGAGCTCAACTTTCACAAAATGAAATGTTTTATGCTGGATTTTGTTCTCTGATCATATTTTTTTAAACATTGTGTTCTGTGTAGCCCACCAGTATTAAGAATTGGTTTGTTTCTTTAACGCTACACCAGACATTGCCCTAATTAAGAACAATGCTAAAGTTGGAGCCCAAGTTGCTTTGGAATTGGCAAAGAGACAAATGCATTCTTCAAAGTAAGTTCATTTTTGAGTTTTTATCGCATATTAAAGATTGTGGAAATTAACGGTGGCATCAGAACTGCAGTGCATACAACCAAGTGCACTGCTTTGTGTTAAAGTGTGTTGCGAAAGTAGTGATTTTGAATATTGGCTGAAGGTGATTGTCGTTGCATATTTCCCTCAGTCTTGCCAATCCTGATTATTTTTCTCCAAGTCAGAGTCATGCGGACACACTGGCAGCTTCAGCAATACAGTTGCTTGTAACGTGATGGCACTACTTATGAACCAGCTTCAGTACACACATCACGTGTACATAATTTATATTGCCTACAAGTGAGGTTCGCGGATGACAGGATGGTCTGCTTTGTAATAAAGTCCTCAACGGATAAGGAAATATTCTAGCTTCCAGTTTTTTCCATTATGTGCTAAATTGCTTAAAATATAACTTTCTAGAGCTCATATAGATCTTAGTACATTTTATTTAGGATAAAAATTATGTCAGCATAGTATTTTCTGTTTGTTTACTTCTTGACCCTGGTAAACTGCTAAATGTGAGGTTATATTAACTTTGTTTTACACTTTGTAGTTGTTAAAATGAATGAAATGACTGACATTTTCACTGATTTGAGATAAAACTGCCACATGAAAATATTACTTTTCCCATAGTAAAATGAAACATTTCTTTATATCTTGCTGAGTGGTATTTTCTTATGATGTGTAAATAATAATAAGGTTTTATTTGGCTGTGATCTGTTTTATGATTATCAACCCTGGTATCAAACAGTAAATACCTATTCCAGTTCATAAATGAACAGAATAAGTAAACAGTTACTGGTTATTAAATGAATCTTAATTTATTCAGAACACTGTAAAGTTGATTTCCTTGACATCACTTCTTTAATGTAAACTTTTTTAACCTTAAATCTCCAAAACTTTGACTCAGAGTCTAGCACTTATTTCAGTGTGTGGTACTTCTCATTTTGTTTTTCCATCCTTACAATTAATTTGCATTCTGTGATAAATGTCAACAAATATGCCAAAGATTCAGCGATAGTACGGAAAGTTTCTGATGTTTATAAAGTTATAAGTGATATAAACACACATGTGCCACAGACCAGGGATCTTCTACAGATAGCGTGAAATTTTATTTTTGTAAAGTTTCCATTGATCAGACAGTAATTCCAGAACAATAAAATGTGTTCTGAAAGAACATCTATTCTTTTCTCAAGGTGTGTTACTATCTGACCCACGCTAGATATGGTAATCTGCACAAACCAGTGGTAAATGATAAAACCTGGAAATGGTGGAGCAATCAACCACCAATGCAGATGCATCGAAAATGGTTTGGAAGTAGTTTTGTCAATGACTGAACAGAAGTAATAGTCAGAAGGTACTTACTGATGTGTACAACGACTTAAGTGATGCTTTGTGGCACATGCCATTACACCGAGTTACTTCCTGCCTTCCTGCACTTGCTTTTCCCATGACATGGCAATCCTGATGACAGTAGTCTGTCTTTTCAACATCCTGAGAATTGAACGTTTCTGTCTTCTGGGTTGTTGCTCTGTGTAGTCTGGTCGATGTTAACCAACGTTTCAGAGGTCATACTGCCTCCGTCATCAGGGCGATGGAATGTTGGTTAACATCGACCAGACTACACAGCGCAGCAACCCAGAAGACAGAAATCTTCATACTCACCATTGTGATAACCTCAAATCTTACATCCTGAGAATTAATACCTCTTTGACTAAAGAGTACAATTCCTTATTTTTGTCATCGTAATAACTTCATTATTCTGTGTGTACATTTATGTGCTTATGTAAGCGAATGAATATATTTATATTACACGTAAGATTACATAAAAGTTGTTATTTCTTTCTGATCCGATTAGACAGTTGTCATCTGAAGATGTTTTTCAATCATTGCATGCTGCATCAAGCGAGCGATGTGCGGCAAAATCGTCACCGGTAAGTTAAAGAATTAATGCATGGTTGTAAGTGTATTGTGTTATGTGTTAATATTTGTAGGTTTGTGGTTTATGCACGTACAATTTCTTAAGTTTTAATGTATTTGTAATTTTATTTTTTCAGAGGTTTGATATTCTAGTCAAGTAATGTGGTTGTAGAATATATATCAGTTGTAAGTAGTACAGTTTTATGTTGACATTTTTATTTTTCTGAGTTTTTATTTCTTGTATAGTTTAAATTTTTGTTATGTGCAAGTTGTCTGTATTGTCCATGTCTTATATCGAAAAAAATTGCTTCTTAATCAGAGTTATGGTTTAATTTTAGGTGCATTTTGAAAAGAAGAATTTGAATACCGCATTGTTTCATTATGTTCGTCCATCCACATGTAACAATACCCAAACTACCTGGTCATTTTTAATCAAACTTTGTATGGTGGACCTACACCAAGTTTTGTCGGACTCTTGATTTCAGTTCATTTTGGATCGTTATAAGGTCCTAAATGAACTTTTATGGGTATTATCTTTGTTTTATCGCAGGTTTTGATAAACTTGATGAATGGAACTCATATTACGTATGTACCAAGTGTTGTTATTCATATTATGACTTGTTCCATATCCTTTGCTAGTACTGTGATGGTACTGAGGAATGTAAGTAAATTCCGTTCTATTCGTGTTGTATACATTTTAGAAAGGACACCCTGTCATGATTCCAGACTGGAGATTTTTGAAGAAATCATTAATCGAATGACATTAAATCCATATATTATGCCTTTTCAGCAGTTTTCCATGGAAAATTGGATAGTTTGTGACAAATTCCAAACATCATGTTTCATCCTCCCATTTTAGCGCTTAATTCACATGTTCATTCTTATTCATATATTTATTCGTAGTTTATTTGAAGACACTCAGTATCTCAGACGAGATAGCATTGAATGAGATGATAGTGAATAATGAATTGGAATATGGAAGGAAGTGGTCATGGCCTAATTGATGGTACTATCCCAGTATTTGCTGGGGGGGACTGAGTTTTATTGTCATCATTAATTGCAGTACACGGTTATGGTAGAGTCCAATAGTGGGCTTTTGTGAACACGATGATGAACGTTTGGGTACCTTGCCAATACTAGGAATGGATTATTAAACTTGATTATTGGAGATTAAATAAACAGACAGTTGTAAACGGCGAGATCCTGACATCTAGTGACAGTTTAAATGGATTATTAAGCTTGGTTATTAGAGATAAAATAAACAGACATTTGTAAACTGCGAGATCCTGACATCTAGTGACAGTTTTCGAAACAAGGTTTTCGTAATCGATGTATTTAAAGGGTCGATTAATGATCGTGCGTTTAGAACAAAATCAAACTAAATCGACTTAGATAAGTTTGTCGCGTGCAGTGCTGTGATGAATGACTACAGTTTAGACCGATGGGGAGAATCCGAAAGTGGTGGACATTAATAGTGCTGGTGTGCAAGTATTTTTATTATGTGGTATTTAGTGGTTTGATGATTTATATTTGATTATGGTTATGTGGTATTCTGAAAGCCAGGGGATCCGTCTATGTTCGTCCGGGTCAGACGGAAGGCTACTTACTACTTTATGGTAAGCCTATGATTATTTGTTGGAACTTAAGAGTACGTATGACGTTGTTAAAAGCTCAACGTAATGTAATATTTTGCGGGTTTTGTCCATTTTTATTGTATTAAGTAACGTTGGTCCCGTTTTCCATTGCAATGAAGAACCATTTCCCAGTTTTCCGCCGAAGAAGATCCACTGCGCTTGCGCCATATTATAACCGCGCCATAGCGCAACGTCCAAAAGATGAACTAGGGTGGTAAATTGTCAAGGGAAAAGTGGCACAAGGGACAGGAAAATCTTGCTTTGTTCTGGAGGGTGACTTATTTTCTATCATAGAAGTTGAAATATATGGACTGAACTTGTTCCTACAAACCAAGAAGCCGCTGTAACATTTCCTTTGATATTTCTCAACACATCAGACGTAGATGCAGTAAAATACTGATGATTGAACTAGCATTAACTGACAGTTTTACTCTCTTGTCAGTGATCACATGTCTAAACCATTGATATTTCGTTCTGTTGTTGTCCCAATTAAAATATTTTTAATTTTTAATTGTTAATATACCTCTTAAGTTCATAGTTTAGGACCGGAACTCGTCTAACTGGTCCTGCCCTGTAGTGACAAAGGATTTCAGATGGAGGTGGGGGGAGTTGTTGGAAAGTTCGTGATTGCACGAATGTTGTATTTGACATTGCCTGCTGTCTGAGGCATATTTCCTTATAGGGCTACACGATGTTTCAGAAGTTGGGTGTCCTTACTCCCCTCTGTCTGCTGTCGGGGCTAAGAACTCTTGGAAATATACGTCCACAAGTCTGCATGGCTTTACGTTTTAGGCCACCTTTGTTTCGATTTTGAATGTACTTCAGGCACGGATTTCTTTAAAACATTTATCTGTTATATAAAGCAATAAATTGGGTTGTGGTAGTCCTGGATAGCAAATTCATGTAGTCGGTGGGTGGGTAGGGGTTTCGTGACAAGTGACTACGTCAGACCGTTTTGCGTGTGTATATTTTATGAGAAGATCAAGGCAAAATTTCCGGAACCTTCAGAGACCGTAAATCGAAATACTTCAGGGCCCTATTAAAAAGAGGAAACAGTAACAATTTTAAAAGGTGCTTTGACTTGCATATTCTAAATTAATTTTCCTACCAGGTATCAGACTACTAATAATCGGTTTTAATTTTTGTAGTAATTCTTCTGTTCGCAGGATCTGGACAGTCACGAAATTCGTGTGATTGAAACGAGCGGACTAAAATAACAAGCTTAAATAATTTTATACAAAATATCTGGTTAGCGATTCCTTTCTGCCACTTCCACGAACAGGCTGACACAAATCACTTGGACCCCGACGAACTTTGATAGCGGAGTTATAAAGGGACATATTCGGTTCAAAGCGGAATAATTAAGTTTATCGCTTATTGATAAATGGCATGGCAGTTAAAGTCTAGTGGCTATGACCTTGGCTCGTATGGTCTGGGTTTCGAATCTGGCGTGCGTAATAGGTGGGCCAAAAGTCCTTGAACAAAATAAAGATGTAATTAAAAATCACAGCGAACTGCAAAAATGTGTGACTTGTTTTGATAGGCAGACACACACGAGACACGTGATCTTATGTGTATGCATCCAGTAGTAACACAAAATGTGTTCCGTGTGCGGTTTAATTTTCATTCAGAATTAATTTTTTTTATAGAGATTTTGGCACACACTATATGTTGTAAGATTTTTCATCATAAATCCTCTACCTCGTCGAGCCTCGGTCTCATGAGGAATCTGCCAAGGGCAGTCCCTAAGTAAATAAACATTTGAGCTGGAGTAATCTGGGGTGTTTTTCCAATAGTTTTTAAACTGTAGGGCTATATTTTTTTTTTACTTACTCTTAAGATGGTATAGTTGCGTCATATTGTGAAGATATATATTTAATTATTAATTATTTCGATAAGGAACATCACATGATATTTTAATTATCTTAATTTTAAATTGTGATTAGACGGACAAGAATAATTAATTAAATATTACTTACTCTTGTTTGTGATCTATTTAACGATAATATAAATAACTCAGATTTTGTAGGCCAAATGATGTTTTAATTGGAAGGGATAAGGAAGGAAGCGATAGTGACCTGACATAATGTGATATTCTGGCATTTGCTTGGAGGAACTGAACACCATATATTAGGATAACCCGTTTCTGGTCTGAGATTTGAAACCGTAACCTCCCGAAACATGAAGTAATGGTGTTAACGATTCGGCCATATTCGATAATAATATCCACTTTATTGGTTTATTGTTTCTGTAATCTCTTTATGAACCTAATTTGTATTTGTTTGTAATGTTTCCAGCGATTAAATTTTGAGACATTACAAGTGTAGTACAAGGGACGACATCTATATTATGCAATAGGAAATAAAGTGACGGGTTGTTTGGAAAACGTGGAAAGAGACTAGGTTTTACAATTGGTATTTCGTTTGTGACCGAAGGGACGACGAGACTCGGAAAGACCAAAGCGACGATGGAGAGAAAAAGACAATATTTGGATTCATGGAAACAGGCCTTAACGATGTGACCACACAAAGCTGATGACGACGATTGAACGTGTTAAAATGATTACTTCGTTGCCTTCTGTCGGATTTATGTCTGTTACAGGTCTGTAAGGTTAGGCATTGCACTCCACTCCTGTAATCTTGCAGCAATTTTCGCTGGTCACATATTGATTATTGACTCTAGCGGCGAAGGGAAGTGGATTTGGGCATTATTCAATAGTGCATTCTCCGGAACCAAACTCTCGCACACTTCGATACAATTGATCGACTATGACGCCTTATACTTGGTTATGAGAAAGATTGAGATGGCCGCTCGTCTTCAGGGTTGTAGCGGCGTGTAGTCTGGTTTGTTTACCGACGTTTCAGAGGCGTGTGGTTCTTCTATCATCAGAGCTGCATGATGCTATAACCCAGCAGATTGCACATCTTCATACTCGACCTTAAATCTCGCATGATAAAAATTAGTTTGACAGAAACATTCTGTTTAGTTGGCATGCCAATTGTTTCTCTGCGTTTGACAGCCACACTCTGAAGACCATTTATCCAGAAATACATAAAATTGAAACTGTTTAATAGGAGTTCAAATAAGCGTGACTTAATTAACCTTTGCCTCCTGTTTTATTTATTTAGTGTTCTGTCTGACGACAGGTCCATATGAACAGGATCCTTCCATCCTTTTCTCGGACTGGGACCTGTTCATATACGTTCTTGGCAGATGATCCAGAAGTGGTTTGACATTGCCTTCTTCTGTGTGTGAATGGAGTAATTGTGGGGAACAAGACCAGCGTTCTAATCGCTAGACCACCGTGAAGTCCTTTGTCTCCTATACAGGCTTAATTTGTTTTGCCACTGATGATGACCTCTAGAGGTCGAAACGCATTT